CCCTCCCCTCCCGCGCTAGCCTAAGGGCCACCTTAGCAAAGCGCATCCCAGGCTGCATAGCCGCACTACCCTACCCAACCATACCACACATAAACATGACACTACCCCCGGGGTTTACACAGACGAGCCGGCGAAGCAAGAAGAGCGCCAGAAGAACGGGCCCTAGCCGGCGGGGCCCAGCCAGGACAAAAGGAGGTCCCACAAAGCGCCTACACCGGCCGCATTTGCGGTCGCGTAGGTTGTCCAGGTCTACACGAGATGGGGCAGGATAAAGAGGGATAATCCCCCTCGATCCCAAATCATTGAGAACAATTCCTAGCCATGGAATAATGGCGCGCGAACGAACGTTGAAGCGAAACAGCTAATTTCCCCAGTCGTCTTGAATTTTGCAATTATTTTCAAAGTCAAAGTGCAGGGGATCCCAGCTTTATTAACAGAATGCTATGAAGTGTTGTTTTACCCATACTGGCACTTTAAATAGGTTGGTACCATACTACTCTCTGAATAGCAGTGAATCACTAGGTATAAGTACTACAAACTGAATAATAAATTGAACATAAAACTAAACAATATTCGAAAACAATTATTATCCTTATACATTTGTTTTTATTAACAAATAAATACTTAATAATTAGAATGTAAAAAAGTATCTTATTCTCACGTGTCTAGATAAAAACATCTGTTTATTCCTTATCGTTTACTACGCATTAAAAACGCAGTAAAAACTAGGTTAGTGACTGTATAATACGGTAGGCCAAGATTTAGTCTCGATAAACCTTTGTGGGTCAGCGGTCAGGAGCCATTCCAAGAGAGGTTTAAATAATTATTTGAAAGTATTTTTTCAGCATAAATATGCATTTTAAAATGTTTTTAATTATGTTTTCATATTCTACTTACTTTTTCTTGTCTTTCCTTACAATTAATGACATTACAACTGAATCACCCTTTAACTCTCAATGTGTAAGTAAATACCACAGTAGTACTCAACAGTTCGCTCTATAATAAAGATACTGCACATCTTTTTTGCTTTAGTTCTTTTATTCATAATATTGTTGCAAAAAAAACTATTAATTATACAGGCTGTTACAAAAGTGCTTCCCACTACATCGATCTCGGAAACGGTAAGAGATACGCACTAGCTTAAATGGGGGCAAAGTTGCGTAATCAGGGGATCGAAATATTTGAAAAAAAAACGAAATTTTGGAAATCCGATTTTGTTTCATTTCAGCTTCGTTTGAGGTGATATTGACAAAAGAAGGACACTTTCTCATGGCAACTTTTGCCCTCTATCGGATGGCATAATCAATTTTTATATGTAGCTCTTCGTCTCGCCATGACCATCATCATCTTCATTTTTTAAATACGGCTCTGGAAATTTTATTAAATTATTTACAAGGGTTCATGACCCCCCAATACTGTACTGCCTCAGCCCGAAGCAGATTCGGACGTTTTGTCTCAAAAAATTCATCTTCCGTATATTCGTTCTTTCATCTAAATTTTTTATTTAGATGGGGCTAATAGTTTAACTAGGTAGATCTCACAGAGTATAACGATACTTACAGTGTGTGATAATTCAAGAAAGATGAAACCTTACATATTAAAATTGACTATGCCATTCGATAGAGGGCAAAAAGTTGCCATGGGAAAGTATCCTTCTTTTTCCATATCACCTCAAACGAGACTGAAATGAAACACAATCAGATATCCAAAATTTCGTTTTTTTTTCAAATATTTCGAAAATTAATCACGTTAGCCTTGATTTTTTGGAGGCATAATGTTGGTCCCCTGATTACGCAACTTTCTCCAATTTAAACTAGTTTGTATCTCTTATCATCTCCCAGATCCCTGTAGTGAGAAGCGAATTTGTAACACCCTGTATATTCTACAAAGTAAATTGTATCAATATTTGAAACACATATTGATGTACATGATTAGGATTCACGCTAAATACTGGTAATAAAATAGGATATATTTTTAGACATGGACAAAACAGGTTCATATTACGGTGTATACGGGGTGTCTAACGGTGACGGCCCATTAAAATTATTTCAGAGACTACTTTGATTTGAATTTTGAAAATTTGGGAACCCGGGTTTTCGGGCATGCCCTTCTCAACTGAAATAATGGCGTCCACGTACCACTTCCGGTTATACCGGAAGTCGCCATCAACTTGCTTATTTGAAATGGAACACCCTATATATTATTGCAATTTTGGATTCTACGTTGTTATTTTCCCTATTCCTAAAATTAACCGTTTTCGAGATATTTAATTTTTTTCAAAAAACAAATGGAGAGAAACAGTGACTAGCTTCAGACGATGTGTATTTCATAGTAAGAAGGATAAAGCAACAATTTGATACCGAAAAAAAAAATGATAAAGTTTTGAAAATCATTGAAATCTGTTAATAAATATGCCAACTGCCTCGTGTAAAAATATCAGATCGATTGCCAATATAGTTTTTTTGAAAAATTATATTAAAAATTATGCTCTATTACACAGGCTATTAAGGGAGTTGGGGAAAAATTTTAATCAAACGTGAATATTGCTCTTAAAAATGGTTAGGATCGGGAAAATAAAATTGCAATTAAAGAATTAAATATTACTAAACATTTTAAAACAATAAAAATATGCACTTACAATGTAATTATTGAGATAATGGAATGAATATACAACGTTTTGACAAATTTGAACAAACATCTGATCCAATGAAAGGAAATATGGCAACACTGTACGCTG